AACCTTGAAAACAAATTCAGGACAGAAAAAAGATGAACTGAAATAGTCAAACCTCCACTAATAGGCATATCTGTATAATTGAATAGACTTTTAAGTAAAAAAAAAACTGTTACCTGCCTTGGCCAGCAGAAGAAATCTTACCTCAAAGTTCTTCAATTTCAAGGTCCATAACAGGGGATCATTTTCTTTCAGTTTAAAAACTCTCAACATCACAAAAAGAAGATGGACACAATGTGGTCTTGTACAAGTACAACTCTGAAAATAATAAATTTTTTATTAGTGCTTGGTTTTAGCTTGAAATAAAATTTACTAACACTGGTTGGTTTCGAAGTAAATTTAAGATGAATTCCCTTTCAAAAGGCTTGTTTTAATCAAATTCAATTGACACCTATCACTTCAAATTTCATATTTATAGAGAAAACACATTGAGAATTTATACTCAATGTGCTATAAGAGAGCATGTACAATTGTACACTGTGACTGGTCACTTTTATAAGTTATATTCTACAGTATAGTCTACTGGTCACTGAAAGGAGTAAATAAATGTAAATATTATTTAACCATTAACTTTACACCCATCACTTGTTTTGTAACTAACTCATAATGATGTTGAAGAACATGATAATGACCATGATGATGATGATGATGTTGTTGACGACAACGATAATGGCGATGATGACTAACTCCATTTAAGGGGTAGCTAGATGGATCATTGGTACCACTTCGTTGCACTTATCTTTTCTTTCTGTGGAGTAAAGTGGCTTAAGAGGAGTAATTTGCTACTAGATGGCATTCAACCTGCAAGTTATCCCCCCAGCATTTGGCCACATTGTCACAGCAGTTGGTTGGTACCCATTTAATATACTGTTGGGTGGGAAAGGTCACTAAGAGAGTAAAGTTTCTAGCCCAAGAACAAAATGTAATAATCCTTGCACATACTTGAACGTTGACTGCTCAATACATAGTCCAGAGTACTCCAGATTTATTTACCTGTGGTCCAATCATGACACGGAATTTATGATCTGGTGAGTCTCCACCAATGAG